TAAAGTAGCAGTGACTCGTAATAAGTAAATTTTTATGAAAGACTTTAATATAAGAAAAATCCAAAGCTATTGATTTCATTTAAGAGATATTTATTTTATTTTATTTTTTTAAATAAAGCTCACCACTGTTCTCAATTTAGGAACTGTTACAGATTAATCACTTTAATATGCAGTTGGCCACTACTACATGTGAACTGGTAGTTTTCCAGTCATTCCACTTCTTTTCCACTACCTGAGATGTATGGAGAACAACTTCAGTGGAAGGCATCCGAGCAAGTGTACTCCATAACCTCACAGGGAACTAAGATTACAGTTTGCATTAGGAGCAGGGATGTTTTAGATTCATGTGGAGTGTAACTTGATAAAGTAGGCACTTGCAGGATAAGGTAGCTGCTGAGCAGCGTCTTAAGAATGTCAAGGTACATGTTTAAGGACTTCTTCAGAAGAATGTGAATTTTCAAGTTCAGTGTGCAAAGGACCTGTCATAAAACAGTTGTTTATCAGAAAAAGTCCTCCTTAACACTAGTGTAGGGCATTAAAAACTCAAAAGGATCCTTTACATCCTTGAGTCTGAATTAAAAACCTCCCACATTTTACTTTTTTTCTTCTCTAAATAACATTTCTGGCTAGTTTAGGCTGCATTTTGAAAGGGTCATAAACACCTGAGGTCACAGACACATTGCTTCAGTAATGTTTAGCTAATGTGCTAGTTTAAAACCCAGTTGTTTAATGCTGCTGACTGTAAACTGGGAAGTACGAGGGAGAATTTCTTTCAGTACCAGATTGTTACTTTATATCTATAATAAGTAAATGTGTCCTGAGGCTTAATAAAATGTAACTTATTCTTTTATGTGGTGGATATAGATTGTCTTCAGATGAACGGTAACAGAACCATTCTACAAAGCATCTGTAGAGTTTATAGGAGATTATGTAGTCTGATTCTGGAGTAATTTTGAAGCAGGATCTATATATCAGCCATTCAGTGTTTAAAAAAATCTAAAGTATGCAATACAGTAAATACTCTGAAGCTTTTAGGTGACCACATCATACTTACAGTATATATAGCTGTTAAAAGGATGTCCAGTAGTAGACAAATGCTTATATTTATGACCTGAAAAACTCAGTACACCAGTTCAGGTTCACAACCCAGTATTTATTTGTATTTTGAACCACATCATTGGACATGGCCACAGCGCTGCTGTCAGGACAGCGTAATAGCTTCATGCTATGATGTCTTTGAAGGAGTAGAAGAATGGGTAGAGCTGTGTCTCCATGTGTTTCTTACTGTATCTTAAACCTTTTTTCCCCTTTTGGTTAAGTAGTTCCTTAACTGTACATTTTCTCCCTAAACCATAAAACCGAACCGCTGGTCTTTACTTTACAGACTGAGGATATTAAATGAGCTGCATTTTCCTATTTTGTTTTACTTTTTTTAACTGCAAAAGAGTGTGATTTCAAAACAAGTCTGTAAACCTTTTGAAAAATACTTCACTGTGAAATTAAAATTTTTCCTTCCATTTATCAGTCTACAGTTATACATTAGAGAAAGAAAAGAAACTTTCTAAAAGTCTTCTGGAATTGCTCAGCAAAGAAAGGCTCAAAATAAGTTCCTTTTCTCCCTTTCTTGAAAATGGGAGTGATGTTTCCCTTTTTCCAGTCACCAGGGACTTCACCTGACAGCCATGACTTTTTAAATATGTTGGAGAGTGGCTTGGGAACCACGTCATAGAATCACAGAATCGTAGAGATTGAAAGGGACCTCAGGAGATCATCTAGTCCTAACCCCCTGCCAAAGCAGGTTGCCTACAACAGGTTGCACAGGAAAGCATCTAGGTGGGTTTTGAACATCTTCAGACTTGGAGACTCCACAGCCTCTCTGGACAGCTTATTCCAGTGCTCCATCACCCTCACAGTAAAAAAGTTTTTCCTTAGATTTGTATGGAACTTTCAGTGTTCCAGTTTTTGCCCGTTGCCCCTTGTCCTGTCACTGGGCACCACCAAAAAGAGCCCAGCCCCATCCATTTGGCCTCCGCACTTGACGTATTTACAGATATTGATAAGATCCCCTCTCAGTCTTCTCTCCTCCAGGCTGAAGAGTCACAACTCTCTCAGCCTCTCCTCATAAGGCGGATGCTCCAGGCCCCTAATTTTCAGGACACTGGGATGCATGTCATCCAGCCCCATAGACTTGTACACATTTAGTCTCATGAGGCAGTCTCTGACTTGCTCTGTTCTTATAGTGGGAGGGACTCTGCAAGACCTTTTCATTTTGTGGACCATCCATTCTTAGACAAACTCTTCATCTGGATCATCCACCAGGATATATTTTTCTTCACATTAGATTAAATTTTTTTAAGAACACTAATTAAATTTGGTGATTTGTTTATAGCCTTGAGGCCTCTACTTTCATTCTCTTCTTGTACTTTAAAGACTTCCGCTACAATCTTGAGTTCATAATTTTGGAAACCCTTGGTAAAATCCCCAGTTTTTCTTCAAAAGTCTTTAAGATTTGGTTTCTGGTTATGTAGCTAATGGTTTATTAGCACAATCCAGCCATGCATACCTTCTTTGTCCATTAAATGTTCCATTCCACAAAACAACAATGAACTAAGGCATATATAAGTCATAAGACAGTCAGGTGAAAATAATGGTCTGGTACCACTTACTAATGGTATCTACTAGTTATGGCAGCGTTACCAGAATATAATGAAATTTACTTCACAGCAGGCGTTGTGACTATTATTGTACTTTCTAAAATCTGCTATTCAACAGAGGGGTAGTGTGCTTTTCCCCATATTTGGGGGTCTGAATCTTTTGTGATTTCCTCCAGCTTTTAACAAGCTTAATTTTATTAACTTAGCTTGTATAAGGTTGTTTTAACTTCTGCTATATGAGAAAGATCTTGTT